GGCTTTGGAGTCAAATTGCGACTCTACCTCATACAAACTGTGTGACCCGAGGCAGTCACTTCTCCCTGAAAGCCCTGAAAACAAGCAAGCAAGTGAGGCACCCAGCCCGGCGCCTAGCACTTAGGGAATCACTGGTAAGGATGGCAATTTTCATAAATGGAAACATGGTTTTTGGAGGATGGAAAGGAAAAAGGGTTACTCTGGATTTAAACAGACCAAACACCAGTAAAATACTCACTACTGAACTGAATTATCCTTTAACTTGTAAGCCAATCGGAAACCTTTCTGCATACGGTGGGACTATACTTGGGTGACAGATACTCCTTCCTTCTATTTCATAAAGAAGATATCATTTTATCAACTCGAAATCCAGCCTTTCTCCTTCATAGTAGTCAGACTTGAAAACAAAGTCCAAACATCCAAGAGGTTTGAAAAACTTTTCTCTCTCACTTAGGATTTCCTGAATCCATCACTCTAAATAATAATGTCCTGGGCATGTAAAGGAAGCCCCTGGAAAGGCTGTGATATGGTTTGGCTGTGTCCTCACCCAAATCTCACCATGAATGGCAGCTCCCATAATCCCCAAGTGTCATGGGAGGGATTTGGTAGGTGGTAATTGAATCATGGGGCCAGGTTTTTCCCATGCTGTTCCTGTGACAGTGAATAAGTCTCATGAGATCTGATGGTCTGATAAAGAGCAGCTCCCCAGTACACACTCTCTTTCCTGCTGCCACGTAGCACGTGCCTGTGCTTCTCCTTTGCCTTCCACCATGCTTGTGAGGCCTCCCCAGCCATGCTGACCTGTGAGTCCATTCAATCTCTTTCCTCTATAAATTACCCAGTCTCAAGTATGTCCTTATAGCCGTGTGAGAATGGACTAATACAGGCTGGGAATTTATAAATACCTTGGCCAGCATTTAGTGTGTACCAAATGTATGCACAGGAAAGAGAAAGAAAGAACAGAGGCAGGTAAAGGATCAAACGCACCGTCTCCCACGGCCTTTCCTGTCCTCTGCCCTGGTAACAGCACAGCTGAGGCCCCTCCCAGTCTCTCCTTCTCCAGTCCTCACCCCTACGCCTGCCACATGAGTCTTCTAGAACACTGTGTATGTTTCACTTTTCTGCTCAACAGCCTTTGATGGCTGCCCACTGCCTTCACAACAGAGACATTCAAAACCCTCCGTCTGACTCTTCAAACTGACCTCCTTTCATTTCCTATGGAAACTGGAGATCTGATGGAGCCACACTCATCCATTCACTGCTTCTCAAACCGCTGTATAGATTCCTACCTCCCAGTCTTCGTTCACACCATTCCTTCTATCTAGAATCCCATTTCCAGTCCTCTTGGTTTATCCAAATCTCATCCTTCCTTTAGAGCTGACCCCAGGTCCCCGCCCTCTTTCTAATAATTCTTCTATAATTACCCTTGCTACGATGGTTGTTCCCTCATTAGCTGCTTGAATCTTTTACTTGGCATTTGGTATCCACTATTTTTTATTGTTAGTTATCTATTTTTTAGGTCTGACCCACCTCCTCAAACAAACTGTAGCACCTCAAGGACAGGGACCACTTCTGGTCCTCTGGGAGCTTTACCGTAGTGCCATGCACACAGCAGGTATTCACCATATTTTGCAAGGGAATTGAGACCTAAGCCCAGCTCTGCAGTCAATTGCCTGCATGACTGTGGCCAAATCACCAGGTGACTCTGGGCCTCAAATCTCATCCATTACAGAGAAGTGGGGGCAGTTGGACTCTGAGATCCTTGGCAGATCTAACAGTCTATGGGAGGGGTTGGCCATTCACTACTAATATTGCTGGAAAACTTTTTTTCTGGCTTGTTCATTAAGTTCTATCACTAAGACTACTGGGAGATGTTTGGGGGAAGCGAAGATTCAGTGGAGGAGCTTGTGAGAATTCAGAGTTTAAGGAAAGAGCTGTTAAGTCTGAACTTTTTAATTTAAAGAGAAGAAGATCCCCAAACTAAAATGTCCCATGCCTTCTCTTTTCAGTGCCTAGCAGCAGTTTGCTAGGAAGGCAGGGCTGAGGCTATTACTTGAGTTCAAAATAACTGGCACCCTTGCCTGTTTTTTAGGAGATGTCCTAGTCAAGGAGATGTCATAAGGTCAGCGTTTGAGGGGAGAGAGGAAAAGGTCTTAAAGTTTTGAAATTTCCCTTTTCTTGCTCTGATTCCAGCAGGAAAGCACCAGGCACACAGCCCTAAAAGTTAACCTAAGTGGACCAAAAGCGCTCAGAATCAGGGCCCATCTGCCTATACCCAAGGCCCTCTCCAGAGAGCCTTCATTCCAAAAGGCAGGAGGTAAGCCTTGGCTCCACCTCAACTTTGAATGAGAATGAGATGCTTTCCAGGGAGGCAGGTATTCGGCCCACCCATTTCTCGGCCCTCCCTCACAAGTCAGGAGGCAGCAAGGCCAGAAGAGAGGCTCTCAGAACACAATCAGGAGACATCACTTTACCTCAGCGTTTCTGTTTCATTTTCTTACCAATTCCTACATGCATGTGAATGTGATCCTCAGTTTCTCTGCTTACAACCAACACCAGGCTTTATCCTATCTCAGATGATGCGGTGAGTAGAAAGAAAACAGAAGAGAGAAAGAGAGCTGATACGGAAAGAGGCTGCAGACATTTGTGGAGCTCATCTTTTTATGCATATGACTCATACAGGGAGAGAACTGGGGAAAGTAAAGGATGGATCAGACATTTCTGGATGTATAAAACCTTCTTGCAGCATTGCAATGTTAGAATTCAGAAAAGCCTTCAGAAATCGCTTGGGTCAATCACTTCCTTTTGATAGATTTTAGAGATTGAGCTCAGAGAGGCTGGGACTCTCCCAGAGGTAAATGAGGCTAGTGCAGGAGCCAGGTCTGGGACTCCCAGCCCACTGCTCTCCCCAGCAGACCAAGTGAATTCCCTTCACTTCCTCCCTGGACTTCGTTCAGAGTTCTTGGTTCCCTTAACTTCCTCCCTAAACTGCCATCAAGTTCTTGGCTTAGTGGAAATATTTTTAGCCCTGACCACATCATGGACAGCAGTTCTGTTCTCCATGATCCAAGTGCTCAGATGAAAGGAAAATCAAGTGTCCGGAGCAATTCTGGGACCAGATATCTGCATGATCAGTTCTCTCAGCGTTGGGCTGTCAGCTGAGCTAAGGGAGGCAGCCGCGTTCTGGGTCAGTGTCTGTGTTTTGTTTCTGATGTAAACATAGAACTGAAGGTCTGTTTTAACTGCCCTGTTACTGATAAGATGACAGACTTTCCCACTGTTCCTCTCAGCCTAAGTCACAAGAAGCGCTAGCAAACAAATCCATGGTCACATCCTTTGTCACTGTGAACGTGGAGTGGATCCTGACATGTCTTGGGGGAACATGACTACTTAGCCAGGCTGGCAGGGCCAGTCTTCAGTAAGAATCCTGAGGGGTGGTAGGGGAGATGTCACGGTCGAGCTCTCCATCTGGACTTGGGGTTTTTCAGGAAAGTCCCTCTCTAAACCACTGCAGCTCTGGCTTGATGGGCTATCACAGCTCCAGAGGAATGCCATTATCACAGCCTGGGAACGTGCAGACAGAACCCACACCCCATGAGGAAGTCAGAGCAAACAAACCTGGGGTCGCAATTTCCTTCTCTCTTAGGAGCAAAGTAGCATGAGTATCACACTTGTTTGCAAAGAAATCTGTCAATAGGGGCCTAACAGAATACGGAAAAGCAGCCAGTGATTCGCCTTCTACTTTGAGCAGGGATGCCTGCTCCTAAGGTGCTATCCCCAAGCTCTGGGACTTCCCAGTTCTTGGTCACCCTGAACTGAGGGAAGGGAAGTCCATATGAATAAGCAGAAGAGACCAGAGGAAAGTGCCCTTTGGAACAGAGAAGAATGGATAGAGAGGATAAAAAACATAAAGCAGAAAGTGGAAGTTTCCCAAGTGCTTATAAATAACAATCTATTGGCCATAACAGGAGAAGTGCTTTTCAGAGCTGAGGCCCTGAGGGTCATTAGTTCAACAAGCAAGCGTGTGAATTTGGTAGCGGACACTACCTTACGTGCAACAGAAAGTAGGCTCTAGGATGCAGCCTTTTCCTTGACAGGTTAATTAGCAGTACATACACCTATGAAGCACTCCCAATCAGTAACAGTACTTGCCAAGTGACTGCTTTTTGCAGTTTTGGAAAGAGTTTCACTTACATTTGATCCTTATGACCACACTGTGAGGCAATCGGGGAGTGTTATTCTCACGTTATAGATAATGGAACTAATTCCTCAAGCTTCGTGCTGTATTATCCAAAGGCTTTTGGCCTTTGCTTCCATTTTGTAATTAAGCCAAGGTTCAGATGGGCTTTGAGAGAGACTGGGAGTAGCAGGTGAGATCTGGGGAGAGCAGTGAGATCACTAGGAAACAGTGTCACTGTTAACTAGCTTCTGTGTCCCCAATGCATGCCCAAACCACTTGACAGATAAAATATGGAAACATTTTGAGAAGAGGATTCAGAACAATCAGTGGCAGCTTTAAAGATAATTAATTTGTACGCACTAGTCTCAGCCCTTCATTTACAAGATACCTGTGGTTACATACAGAAACTTCTAATGACAGAATGTGCTTTCAATGACAACTTACCCAGTTGTATGCCTAGGGCCTTAAATGGCACTGGACAAACCGTATATCAACGTTTAGAAAACCCTTCACTCTTTCTTCACTAGCACTGGCACTTTCTTAATTAAAAACATGAACACAAAACCTAAAATCCTTGAAATGATGTTAGGTACAGATTAGGAAATTATCTGACCAAGGATTAAAATTTAAAATCTAAAACACAAGTAATCTGGGCAAAGTCTCTCCTAAAAGCTTATTACAGTGATGACTATTCAATCTTCCATCCATTTACAGATGGCATGAATTTTCTCTCCCAGCTCTAACTGAATCCACGGGTTTAACCCTTCATGTTCCTTTTCACACAGGACAATCCACACATCATTCATCTATATAACAGTACCTGTTCCCTGCTCCTACTGATCCTCTCAGACAGCAAATCTGAGTTGTTTCTTTCTTCATCCAGTTCCAACTCCAGTTGAGATACCTTGTCCTAAGAAAGAAATCACAAATACAGTCAACTTAACTTGCACTGACCGGGATTAAGAGCAAATGCCCCATAAAGGAACAACCCTAAGTGCCAGTGAGAGCTGGGTTTGGAAAAACAATGTATCTATTTCTTACACTGCCCAAAGCAGGTATTTCTTAAGCTATGTATTGCATGACTTGTAATGTATAATGTAACTGTGTATGTAGAAAACACATAAAGGAAGAGAAAAAACATTATCCCAAACCCTAATGCAAACACTAAGGATATTTGAGCATGTTTCTGTCAAGTCTCTGTTTCTCCCTATGAACCAGTAACTTTAAACAGATCTACACTAAGCCAGTTTCCTATTAAAAGACAATGTGGAAAAACCACTTCATGCTCAGGACAATCTTTTGTCTGCATCCTGCTCAGCGTTTCCAAGAGCCTTTCAGGAGTAAATCTATAGCAGTCTTCTAAGGAAGAGCATGCATTTGTCCTGTGCACTCCCAAACCTGCATTGGATTAACCAAAAGCCAGTGCTAACCAATTCTGTTAAACTCATCATCACTTAAGAATAATAATTTGTGGCTTCCTTGTTGGCTCCTCATCTAACCTAATTGAGTGTCAAGAAAAAAAATCTCAAAGCAGCTTTGTATATGAAGAAAAGAAGCTTCGAACACCAACCACCCAACTTAGAACTGGGGTTTGTGGGTCTTGAGCATGTGTTTCTCCTGTCACCAGCCAATCTGTCATAGGTCTAAGGAAACTCAGAGCCACAAAGGCTAAAAAGCAATTGGCATTCCAAGTTTTAAATGTGAACCTGCAGCATTTGTATATAAATATTGTCTCTGCAATTGCCAAAGTTGATTGACAAGCAATGGACACCTCTATCCCTAATTATTATTTTATTTCTCAAAATTAAAACACCCGAGGATTCATGTGAATGATTACCTGCCTGTGAATGGCCTCCAGAGAATGATCAAAACCTATAGAGAAGCCAGAAAGCCCTTTCCCAAGAGCCAACCATCTCAAAGGCCAACTTGGATTGGAGCTGGGCCCTGCACCAAAGCCTCCTGCTTATCCAGTGGTTCCTGACGGCTCCAAGGCAAGACTCACTGTAGTCCTACATCACTCAGGATCCACAAGAGCTGCATTTACAAACAACAGCCACCTGAGTTTCTGAGTTTACAGAAACTGTCCATTGTCAGAAGAGCTCTTGAGTCTTGAAAATTAATTTAAGTGCTAGTGAAGGAGCAAGACACAGTCACAGCAAGATGGTCCTGCTAGCCACCTTTGGGGGGAGGAGACACCCCTCAAGTGCATCTCGTGGTAGCAGGCTCTTGAGAGCTATTCATTTTATAATTAATGGAAAAATGCCTAAATAATGCAAAGGAAATGTTCTCTTTAGCCAGCATATATTAGCAAGAAATGACCCAACAACCCAATCTTCAGTTAAAAGCAATTCTTTATAGGACTCTCTTCTTGCTTAAAATCCATACTGCACAGAACACAGCAGGAGTGTTAGGGGTCCAGGCCAGGGCCATTACTCCAAAGGTTCTTCCTGCACTGCCTGAAGAGACTTAAGCTCATTTTGAGCCAGGTTGTTTAGACCCTAGAATAATCAGTTTCTAGTTAAGTGGGTTGACCTTAGCTTGCCTTAAAATTACCTCCCCTAAAGAGATCAGAACTAGGACATTAGCGAAATGTACAGCAGTCCTACAAAAGAGCAATAAAACTGTAATCAGGTTATTCTAGTCTCTAAAAGAGGCCCATCTAATAAAATCTTCAATGACTGAGAAAACACTCCCCAGATACAGAGTCCCCGGAAGGTTTTAAAAGTTAGTTCTGTTTATTTGCAAAGTTGAATCAGGAATTCCATTGATTTTGAATTTAAGCTGTCTCTCCATGGCCTTGAGCACTGTCTGTCTTTTATCAAAACCTTGACAATTTTAACTTCTCCCAAAAGTCCAAGGCTATTTTTTAGTCTCTCTCTTTTTCTTGCTCTAAATTTCACTTTTCCAGTGTCTCTCCCTCTCTCTAAATTCCACTGTGTGTGTGTGTGTGTGTGTGTGTGTGTGTGTGTGTTTGTGTGTGTGTTTCTGCGGGTTGGTTTGGCTCCTACAAATTATTCTTTTTTAAAAGTTCAGATCGAGTGATTCTGAGGTTTTTCTTGTCAACATCAGTGAACTGTTCATACTTAAGAGTCTGTTACTTCACTCACACTTTTCTAATATGTTGTGTTTTCAGCTAGTGACTAGATCACCCCATCTGGTGACTATGTTCAGCACTTTCTGATACGCTGTCTTGTCTTGGATTGTCTACATACTATGCATACCACGGAGAACTGAGCCACAGTTAGCTGCGAGCTCTGGCAAAGCCAGGTAACCTGTAAGGAGAAATGGGCCAGAAACAGGAAGCAGGAATGAAGTACGGGTGTGGCAAAGGAAGGACGATGATTCCTAGGAGGCTCCTCTCTGGACATCCAGCAGTCTGATTCCTTCTAGTTAGCTGGAAGCACTGCCCCAAAGAAAAATAGGAAAGGAACTATCTGCATCCTTATGCAAAATCATCTAATGTCCCTGGGAATCTGTTCCATTTCCTCTCAAGACAATGAGAATATTAGACTAAATTATGTCCATCATTCCTTCTAGCTCTGATGTCCTGAGTCTGTAAATGACTGGCCTCTTCCTTCAATCAAGAAATGACCTCACTACACCTAGCTGTGAGAGAGAATAAAAGCTCAAGACTTCCCAAAGGCTGAACTGAGAGCAGAGAGGCTGCTTCTCTCATTGCCCACACTCGCTCTCCATGGGTCCCCCAGCTCAAACTGTGCGGTCCACAGACCTCCATCTGCTTGACCAGTCTGCTGCGGTCATCTTTGAGGTGACTCTTGGCTTCCAGCTCATACTCCAGGTCCTTTAGTGTCTGCTCCAGAAGCTGCCTTTTTGTGAGTGCTTCATCCTGAGCTCTCTGGTAGTCCCGTAACTCTTCCTCCATCAGACGCATCTAGGAAAAGAGACAGCTGGGGTGGTTTTCTGGGGGGCGTCGGGAGCATAGAGACCTCCACAGACAGTGCAAAGGTTGACCCCACAGAAAGGAAGATCTGGTGGATCCCCACAATATGGGAGATCAGAAGACCCTGAGTAAGTCCTAACTCCCTCTGGGCCTGTTTCCTTTTTGTAAAAAAAGAAAAAAAAAAAAAGGTGGTGGGGGCGGCGGGGGGGGCAGTTTCCAGCTATAGGCAACAACCTATTAGGTTACAAATTCTATTTGGTAGATGTTGATCATCATTTTTTAATTAAATAGAACAGAAGAAATATCAGTATTCGCAAATATTGATTTGTAAATCTTTTGTACTAGGTACTCATATATGTGTGCCGATGTGTGTATTCCTGGGTTGCAATAAAAAATGTAGCTCTTTTTTCTTCTTCTTCTTCTTCTTTTGAGATGGAGTCTTGCTCTGTTGCCCAGGCTAGAGTGCAGTGGCACAATCTTGCCTCACTGCAGCCTCCACTTCCCAGGTTCAAACAATTCTCCTGCCTCAGACTCCCAAGTAACTGGGATTACAGGTACATGTCACCATGCCTTACTAATTTTTGTATTTCTATTTAATAGAGATGGAGTTTTAACATGGTAGGCAGGCTGGTCTTGAACTCCTGACCTCAAGTGATGCCCACCTCGGTCTCCCAAAGTACTGGGATTACAGGTGTGAGCCACCATGCCCGGCTGAATGCAAAATGTAGTTCTTACTAGGTCATGTTAAAAACGCTCAAGAGCCCCTGAACTAAATACCTGTTTCCCAGAGGATAATTTGTTGCCCACCTGTATCACTGTCACCTCAAAAGAGATTTAAACTTAGTGTAAAAAAAAAAAAAAAAAACCATACAACTAAATTAATGACCACAAAACAACCTACTGGCACAAAGCCTAACAATATACACAGGCACACTAGAGAAAGCCACTGCTTTGCAGAAAATAATCAGCCATCATAATTTACGGTGTTGGTTTTTTTTCCACCCACAAGGTGGCACTCAACTAATAGCTTTGAAGAAAGCGCAACCGACAAAACAGCTTGATTCACAAGGGCCAGTCTATGTCTTATACTTCTCTGGAAGTTCAAGTGCACAGTAGGTCTTCCTTAAACATCAGTGTGGGCTGATCCAGTGAAGTCCCAGGCTGTCTGCTTCGTTCTAAGTGTCCTACCCTCTTGGAGTTGGCAGAGTACTAAGTAGAGCTAGTCTCAGAAATAGAATACGCTGGGGTTCTGTTTCCTTCTGCGTATAAGAAAGTACATGGCAAACTCCACTACAGAATGCCACCCTTCTGGGATGTCTGCCACAGGAGAGTTAGAGAGCCCCAGTAGGTGAGGACACCTTCAGGAGACCCACGGGAAAACCTGAGCAAATGTGCTCCTCTCTGGGAGGCTACAGGAGCACCCACCATTTATTTCTATGAGAACAGCCTGGCCTTGAAGACGACATCTCCAGATGGAGACTCTCATGTGGTTTTTGTGGTAACCATGACAGAGAGTACATGAAAGCACAGAATGAAAACCACCCCATGGAAAAAGAAGGATGGGACATTCTCTAGATACAGAGGATATGCTACATTCCAGAGCATTAAAAAAAAAAAAAAAAAAAAAATCACTCTATGACTCAGTTTCCTTATCTGCAACATTGGGATAATTATAAAAGCAGCCTTCTAAAGCTATTATGAGAATCAAATGAGATGATACCCAAAAAGAACCAGGGTATGAGAGTCAGAAAGAATGACAGGCAAACGCGCAGCCTGTGTTTCCTTCCTATCCCCCTTCCTAATGCCCAATGCGCCCTCCTCCACTGCTTAGCGCAGCCCCACCTTCCACACCTAATGCCCTGTAGGGCCCCCATGATACTCAGAGTCCCTGATGAGAGCAGGCAGAAAAGACTAATTAGCATGGGTCCTGAATCAACAGTAAGCAAACAACTTTTGAACTTCCTAGTGCTACCTTCAAGTGGTTAAAATCACCCTTTGCTAAAGAGGATTTAGAACATAAACTTAGCAATGGTAAACAGTAAGTCTCAGTTCTCTAAAGATCATGCTCATCAGAGGCAGAATGGGTGAAAATGCCTATTTCTCTCAAAGCAAAGGCAGCAACTATTAGAGCATTTAGAATGGACCCCTGTAGCTTTTGGGTTTTTCTTTTATAACCAAGATATTCAACTCAGCTCAATCAAACCACAAGACGAGGGGTGAACAGCATTGAGCTTGAGTTTTTTAAGGATGCAGAGTGACCTTGGCTTGTTAACTGACTTCTGTTTTAAACAACTCCAGCACTCTAGCATGGTAATCAAGGGATGGTATCTCACTGTACTTTCCCTGCAGAATGATGAAGTGTCCACGTCTGTTGCTCACATGGAAGCAACTGTCTCACAGGGCTGCATCAGTGAGAAAAATCTAGGAAGGGCCATCTTTATTTTCCTTACAAGGAATCCTTGCTTTGGAATGACCGCTCTTTTATAAACAACACTGGTCTCCATCTGGCCTGAACTAGTCTCCCTGGACCTCAGTTTCCTTATCTAACTAGAGGATCTCTACGTTTTCTTCCAACCCAAGGATTCTATCATTTAAAAAATCATGATATACAAAGAAATGGGAAGTATTTTTGGGGTCATTGTGACACTATGATCTTTTAAAGTCAAAACAGCCCAGGTGCTTGTTGGTGCTTCTGGCAAAAATCTTAATCTTTCTGCCTGTGGTGTAGTAATGAACATGATTTTTTTTAATGCCGAAGAGAACTGTGATGTCAGTGTGCTAATTTCAGTTTTTACTTGGAGTCCTGTATCATATGACTCTGAGCCAGAGGGGATCTGTTATCAGGGGCCTTTCAAGAGTGTTCTAGAAGACTGTGATAAATATCTATTGTTCTTTTACACAGTTTTAGCACTGACTCATGGGTGACTTTTCTTTGATCATCAAATAAATTAAAGTTGTTTTTTTTTAATTGTTTTCCTGTGGAATCTTGGTGCTCTTGGCACTGTTCAAGAAAAACCATAAACTTTAAAATTAAAGAAAGGGAAATTAATATTTCCGAAGGGTCTGGGATGTACAGACTCGCTACTACACAGTCTCACATATTATCTCAATTATTAAGTCACTAATACTTGGTATATTTTCAAAGATGTAGAAACATATGCTCAGAAGATTGGGGTAACTTGCTCAAGGTGGCCCAGCTGGCAAGAGGTGTAGCTAAAATCAGCATACACTGTGCTTACATTTTGAAGCCTCCAGCTTTCCATTAAAACAATCAAAAACATCCCCCCTTTCTTTTTCTCAGTTCTTTAGACGCCAAGTCTGAAGGGAGCTAACATTTGGGATTCTTTGGTCTATTGTTCTTAAATATAAAACCAATGTTTTAATAATTTCAGTACTCATAAATTCCCAAGGATTTCTTTTAGTAGCCATTATTGTTCCAAAACTCTTGTCCGCCACCCTCATCCCCAAAAATGTCTGTATTTTCAAAAATGATTGGCAAAAAAAAAAACAGTCAGTTACTGTAATCCCTGTTCTAGGATTAAATTAAAACATGAACGCATATAAATAAATCATCTGGACACAGCTGGGCACATCATGGCTGCTCCATAAATGGCAGCTAAACATTTTAGGCAAAAAAATTACAGATTCATCAAGAAAATGTTGAGGTTAAAGCTGTGTCCGTTTCGCCTCACAGTCCACTGGTGGGTCCTTTGTGCTCCAGAATGCCATTTGCCCAAAGAACCATCCAGAAAAGAAGGTAAAGAATGAAGAGTCAAGCAGAAAAGCTGTCTCATGAATCTACCCCCAAGTCCCTCACAGAAGAATTTCAGGGCAAAAAAATACTCTGGATAAGGGATAAAGGAAGAACTTATCTGGCCAGGCATTACCTCATCCTGCATTTTCATAGCTGTCAGTTGGAACTTTTCTGCCTCCAGGGTTTTCTCCTTCAACTGTCTTTGCATTTCTGCAAGCTCCCTGCGATTTTTCTCCTTGTACTCATCCAGCTGGTTCTGGAGCTCCAGGGTCGATATGCGGGAGGCCTCAACAATGTCTGCCATCTGAAAGAAGTGACACAGGCGTGAGCCCACCCTGGGATGCTCTATCTGAGACCAACACACAGCACATCTCCTTTCCCCGCTTTCTTCTATAGCCTCCTCAAAGACAACCAAGCGCCTGATCCTGAGCTGGCCAGGTGTGGGAACCTGTGACTTGGAAGCAGCATGGAGTGAGCAGGTACGTCCTTTGGATCCGGGCGCACAGCCTCAGGGCCCTATGTCTGCTATGCCACTTAACAGTACGTGACTGGGGCACATCATTAACCTCTCTGGGCCCTGGCTGTGTTTGCGTTAGAAACACTGAAATCAAACCTACCTTACAGGGTTGTCGTCAGAATCAGTATCTATAGATACAGAGAAAATTTTATTGGCGGATACAGATAAAATTCTAGTTAGAAACAAAATAGCTAGTAATGTGCCTGGTACATAATATGCATCAGAAAACAGCAGACACTCATGTCAGCTCCCAGAATACAGAAAGCCTGCCACATGTGTGCCTTTTCCCTTCTGGGTACGTTGAGGCAGGGATGAAGAGAAAGAGAAGCATCCACTGAGCTTTGAAGCTGCCTTGACACTCCTGGACAAGTAACAGAGATGCAAAATGCAGCCTCGGCACATAGACGTTGATTCTGATTCAGTCAACATTGCTTCCGTCTGCACTGAAACACAGGCTGCTTCTACTGTTAAGAGGTGATTCTGGTGCCCAGAATCCAGAGGGTACTGGCATTAACGTTTTCTGGACCAATTTCTCTGTTATCTATTCAACAAATCTAAAGAGCTGCCTCCAGGGATCCGCAAATCCCTGACACTTTTGTGCTTAGACCTAACTGCAGGTTTCCCAGGCTTTCACCAGACCCTCAGCGGGGACTGGGTCCAGCAGAGGCACCTGGCCCTACAATCTCTTTCCTCCTCCAGCGCCTCACCTCCTTCTGCAGTTTCTCGATGGTCTTGTCCAGGTCCCACCGCTCAGTTCTCCATCTCGTTCTTCAGCCTTCTTAGCTGCTCCTTCTGCTCATTCTCCTCTTTCAGCTTCTCAGACAACTGTTTCTGCTCCTGGGTGGTCCAACTCAGATTTCTCTGCAGATGGCAGGGAAAGGACAGTTCTGTCACCTACCAACCAGGTGGCCACAAGAATGGGTGGCACAGGGTCCTTCCCAGTCATACTGCAAAGCAATCAGATCTGTTAAATCCATGATAAGGAAGATCAAGATAAACCCGTCAGAGAGACAGAAGGACATTGTTGGTTCTGAAATCCAGAACCAAAAAGAAAGGCTGCCTTACCCGAAAACATTCACAGGAAATGAAGGGGCAGACAAACAATGCATTACAGAAATACACGGCCAAAGCTGCTGGTGGTGCGAATTCAGGATAGTGTCTAAAAACCTGAATATTCAAGCTTGAAAATCGAGGGGAGGTTGTATATTACAACAGTCGAAACTTACTTGGCAATTTATATCCTATGATACACAGCATCACACCTAATATTCCAGTATTTACTCTGCTATGTGGATGATTCTTACAGTTAGAATAACTAAAAATGAATCATATGAAAAGAGAACACTACCCCACAGAACCAAGGTCAGCTTGCGTAAAGGCAGTTGTAATCAACAGAATCCATGAATTGGACTCGGACTCAGGCAAAAAGGAATTTGGAAACCCACCGGCTGATGAACTTGATGAATACAAGGTTTGAATGGAAGAGACACTAGGCAGATAAAGTACTGGTCAGGTAGGTGGTTATTTATTGAATCAGTACCAAATGCCAGCGCCTACCATAAAACACAACCATCTTGAATGCAATACTCCCCTTGGTTCCCCGAGACTTTCATCTCACAAAGTCACAGAGACTTATATCCTTTACGTAAACAACATGGAATTCCAAACTAAAATCCTAAAATACTATAGGAAGGTTATGGTGGCTTCTTTGAAGAGCTAAGGCAAGCATCCCCAAACTACGGCCCGAGGGCTGCATGCAGCCCCCTGAGGCCGTTTATCCGGCCCTCCACTGCACTTCAGGAAGGGGCCCCTCTTTCATTGGTGGTCAGTGAGAGGAGCACAGTATGTGGCGGCCCTCCAACGGTCTGAGGGACAGTGATCTGGCCCCTTGTGTAAAAAGTGTGGGGACGCCTGAAGCATTAGGGCCATAGGTATGGGGATAACAAGAAGAGGCACAGCTCGGAACAAAGCAACGTGACTCAGACACAGACTGGATCATCTCAAAAACGTCAGGCACTGGGGGCTGACTGTGGGCCCTACAGGAACAGCTCAGGGCCTTCCTGGTCTTGTGTCCTGCAGTGGCTGCACAAGAACAATGCTTTGTATTTGTACAGTGCTTAACAGTTTACAAGCTGCAGCCACAGGCAGTAACTCAGGATCTTGAAAACATTCCAAAGCACTTGGGACTCCTCTGGTTTGCAGAGCATAGGAACCGATCTGCTCTGCCAACCATGTGACGTGGGGCTAAAACACCACCCGTGGCGGCTTCCGGTCCCTGGGCTCTGCTGGGCTGGCTGCGCTTTGAGAAGCAGCCAACCTGGCCGGGCTGCTGAATTTAATTGCTGCAGGGAACCAAGGTCAACAAAAGCTGTTGGGGAAAACATGGTAGCAAAAAGAAAGGTAATCAGAAGTTCAGCGTCGGGGGAATCAGCAGGAGTGGGCCCCAGCACAGCTGCTGCTGGGCACCCACCAGAAGCAGGGTGAAACCTGGAGTTTCTGTTGATAGTTGATATAGCGGTGTTGGGGCAAAGGGCGAGGAGGAGTTACAGAACCAGTGAGGTATGAGACAAAACCTTCAAAACACGTGTCCCTAACAATGTCAATTCACCAAAACATCAAATACAAAGGGCCCGCAATGGCTTCCTGTAGACCCTTCTGGATCCAACTCAACCCTCTCCCACTAGGAATCTTTCTCCAGCCTCTCTTTCTCTTCCTCTTAGCCCGCAATTCCAAGGGCGTCAGGCAGCAGACAAGCCAACCCAGTTCTGCTCAGCCTCCATGTGGTTTGTGCATGCATTTCTGCTCCACTCTTGGCTCAGCCAGGGCTGCCTGGCCCCTTCTCCTGAATGACAAGAGACATCACAGACTCATCACTCATATACTGCCTAGAAGAGTAAGCTTGCTACATTATTTTTAAATCATTTTTTATATGCTTGCCTCTTTTGCAAGACAGTAAGCTCTGTAAAGGCAAGGGAGGGATTTTCTGTCTATCTGGGTATGTTCACTATTAGGTGTATGATAAACACTTAGCTGTTAAAAATGAATGCCTATTCCCAAAAGTGATTCCAAGGCTTCTTATGTTAGAATCACCAAGTAAGGAGGGGATAACCGTACTTAAAATGTAGATTCTAGCTTTTTCTGATGGAATCACAATTTTTCTTAGCATGGGACCCAACAGCATTTGCATTTGAAAACTCCTCAGATAATTCCAGTATGTACTAAGGTTTAGAAACACTGTTTAGTACAATGGTTTGCCTCCTCTGTTATTCAAGAAATATATTCCAATAAGTCACTGCTGAGAAAGCATCTCAAATTCACCTGAAAAGAAGCGAACTTGGCAACTTTGCATTTTTCTGACCTTTCATGTAAACAGTATTAGGACTGAAATGCTCTGTAGCTACGGAGACTCTATGTCCAAGGCCAGCGATACAAGCTCATCGATAAATGATGTGAAAATCTGGGGAAAACAGATGAGTTTGGAGAGAGAATCTGAAACACAACATTGGTAGATGCAGGGCAGGTGTCCTTGGGCTCAGGGACCATTATCTGTCAACAGACACAGAGACTTTTACTCTATGACTGAGGTCCCAGTTAGCTCATATTAACAACAACCAAGATGCAGGTGAGCCTGCGGGTGTCGAGGAATGGAATGGGCAGCTTAACCAGAAGGAAGCTGGTCTTCTGGGAGCCCCTGCCACTCAGTATCTGGGGGTTGCAATAGTGGAAGCCTTGGGCCCTTTTTTCCTCAGTTGTCTCAATACTCAAAAGTCCAGTGGGGCGGAAGGTAAAGTCCTAGGGAAATCATATGCACCATTATCCCTTCCTGAAGGAAAGAACTGTGGTTTCTCCAGAAAAGGTTTCTTTACTTCCCCAACTGCAGAAGGCACTTTTAAATACAATCATAGATGCCTTGCCTTAAATGCAGTTCCAGTAGCCCTAGATAGCAACACAGTCCTGAAGCAAGTGGTCAGCATCTTTATGACCCCCTGCTACTTTTTAACTGAGTCATGGTAAATCAGACACAAATTTACCACGGTCTTCAGCTACTATTTAAAGAAATCTATTTATCATACCTGAAGATGCCATAGACTAATGGCACAAAGACAGAAAAACACCAGCTACTTTTTCCTTTCCTCAAGGGCCAACCCAGAAAAAGAAGCTGACTATCTGGTTTCCAATTTTAAAAGGAAACATTTTGGAGTGATGGTGCTTTTTCCATGGCATTACTTTTACGACCAGATAATTCAGGTAAAGAGAGCGAAACTGTCAGGCCCATTTTAAATTCTTGCCAGCTGTCCTGCCAGTGGCTAACAAGGCCACACACTGCATGACGCACTCCCACCATCTCTGCACCACTGGGAAAACAGGCCTCAACCAAAGTAACATGTCAGGGCTGACTTCCAAGGCAAGGCTAGCGATCCAGACATGGGGGTGGTTGGGGACTACATTAAGATCTTTAGGCCCCAGGGCCATCATCTGTTCTAGTGCACTAAATTAACCACGAACCCCAGATTCCCAGCTGGGGAACAACTTCCATATGTGTGAAAAGTTTCTGTTTCACCAAAGGAAAAGATCTGAGAGACCAATAGCTGCACCTGGCCCTTGGTGTGGACATACCATGAAGGGACAGATGCTTATCCCTATAGAATACCAATGTTTTTCCTTTCTTTCTGCCCCCAACCAGCTCACAAATTTAAACCCCACTCTGGCAGCCGGCTTGGGTAACAGTAACCAACTTCAGCCTTAAACAGCAGCACAGCAAAAGTGCCATCCACACGAAATCAACTTCACAGAATTTTGTAAAGAAGATCTAGATTTAAAGAATTTTTTAAAAATCCAAAGTGAAGGCAGTCAGACACTTGAACTCAGGAAAAACTGGGACTTTACTATATGCAGATATGAGTTTTGTCCCAAGAGGAGGAGCAGGCACAGGCTTCTGATTTTGAGGGAGAGTCCCCAACCTAGGCTGACCTGTGGGAATCCTTCCCCTCTCTCTACCCTAGGAGAGAAGCTGAATCCGTTGCAGGAAAGCTGCAACCAGGCATTTACAAATCTGAACCTGACTCAGCTCTTACCACTTTTAATGCCCCCACTTCACCTAACCCTGAGTACAAGTGGGTCCTGAATAGAAAACTTGAGTAACAACCTTCCCCTTAGACAACTCTCAAAACCACTGGCTTCTACCTCCTCAGAAACTCATCTGAGATACTGAAGCAGCAGCCCAAGAGCCAACAGGAGGAGAACAGACATGCATCACACTGAGGTCACTGTGCAAAGTCAATCAGAACTGCAGTACAGACCTTTCTTGAGAATGTACTTCAAATGAGAAAATCTAATTTTCTAAGAGCCTACTGATTTTCAATAGCGATAGCTATCCAGTTTCAAGGAAATCACTTCCTTCTGCCTCTCTGAATAGCCATCCTGAAGGACTGTGCTCTAAGGACTGCATTTGCCCAGAGGAGAATGGAAATTGGCTTCTGCCAGACAGCAGACTCCACACTGCCTCGGGGGCCAATCCTGCTGGCCTTCTCACACAATTCATATTTTATCTTTGGAAAGCTGTCAAGCTTTGCAACGTCTAAACCGAGGTCTCTCTACCTTGGCACTGCTGACATCTGGGGCCCGATGGTTTTTTGTACTGACGGCTGCGCTTTGTAGGATGTTTAACAGCAGCGCTCTTTTCCACCCAGGAGATGCCAGTAGCATCTCCCCACTTGTGATATCCAAAATTGTCTTCGGGCATTACCAAATGCCCCCCAGTGGAGAACCACTGGTCTAGATGGATAGTTCAAATAACCAAGTGGTCATTATAGCTGAAAGGGAGCTACCTGGAAAGAAAGGGCAGAGGACAATCTCCACACAGGAGGGAGTAATGACGACAGCCCCGGGGGTTTACCTGAGCAGCCTCCAGCTCACTCTCCAGGGCCCTTCTGGCGGACACGGCTTCTTTTTCTTCCTTTCTGGCGTGCACAAGGGCCTCCTCTAATTGTCGTATTTCTCCCTACAATGAAACGCCGGGTCAGCGTACACTTAGATGTGTGCTGTACCTATGAAACTGACTCAGTGGAATGAAATGAACACTGAAGACACCCACAGACATGGCAGTGGCTATGGTCACAACGTGCCTGTCATGGACCCAAAGCGGCACACATGGCCGTGTCTTTAAATGTGTGTGCTTGTCTGCAGCTCCAGTTCTAGTTGTTAGCCAGGTGTGAACATCCATATTATCTCAGGGGACTTTTTTTTTTTTTTTTTTAGAGACAGGGTCTCACTATGTTGCTTAGGCTGGTCACAAACTCCTGGGTTCAAGTGATGCTCCCTCCCACCTCTCTGCCTCCCAAGTAGCTGGAATTACAGTCATGAGCCACCATGCCCAGCTGGGGTAATTTTTTAAAAATACAAATACCCAGCCTTATTCCTGGAGATGTGAAAACAGTAGGTATTGAATGGACCCATGCACGCACAGTTTTATAAAAGGTATCCAGGGGGTCCTGATGGATGACTGCTGTGGTTTGATCGTGTCCCCCAAAAAGCGTGTGTTGGAAGTTTAATTGCCATCATAATGGTATGAAAAGGTGGGACCTTAAAGAGGGGATTAGGCCATGAGGGCTCTGCCCTCATGAATGGGTTCATGCTGTTATCACAGGAGAAGGTTCCTGGTCAATGGACAAGAGTGGCCCCGTCTGGCCAGTCAGTTCCCCATTCTACCTCTACCCTTGTGCTGTGTGACGCCATTCACAGTGACACGGAAGGAAGGCCCTCACTAGACGTTGGCACCTTAATATGAGACTTCTCAGCCTCCAGAACTGTGAGAAATACATTTCTATTGTTTCTAAATGACCCAACTGTGGTATTCCCCAATGGCAGCACAGAACAGATGGCAGTGACCATGTACGTCTCCTCCTTCACTGTCAGCAGCCCTTTCCTGCTGCTGAGTGTGCTTCTCTCACTCACAGCTTCCCACTGCTAGAGGTCTGGCCAACCAGATAACTGGCTTGTTAAAATCAGTGTAACTTCAAAAACATCAACTATGAGTTTAAGAAAAAAGAAAGTCTTGAGTGAGAATCGGTCTCACGGTAGTGTTAAGACAGACTTTTCAGGCGGAGGCCTCTGCGAAGCCGTGGAAGGCTGGGCGTGTCTGGCATCTGGGTGTGTGGGGATTCCTGTGCCTAGACCTGTGTTCCCACCTGACCTCACCATCCCTGTTCCCAGGCCTCCCTGTCATGCCATTACCAGGGGAACAAAGAAATGGCTTGCAGAGAGGATGTATTCAATATTGCCTTGACCTTTCCTACTAAATGATGACAATAAATCCCTTCCCCACTTCTGAAGTCACTTACACAGGAAAGAAGAAGCAGCTGCTGCCAAAGCTGGGCCTGGGCCCAGCGAGCCTCACCTCATACTTCTTGAGCGTTTCCTTTGCCTTGGCTTCATCGCCTTTCATGTCTTCGATCTGCCTTTGAAGCTGAGCAACTCTCCGCTCCAGCTCTTCACTTCTCCCCTGCAGCTTCTCATTCTCCTCCCGCAGAAGCTTCACATGCATTTCGGTCCCCACCTGGTCTTGCTCTGAAGTATTGCTCCTGCTGGCCAGGACCTCGACATTCTGTTAAAAAGACAGAGCAAATGAACAAGGGGACTAGTGTCAAGGAGCTGTCCCCAAGCTGGGAGAACGGCTGGCATCTATGAAAAACCCATTGTGCCTATTCAGCCGAGCCCTGTGCTGAGCCAGGGGTCAGCAACCCACAGCCTGCAGGCCAAACCCAGCCCTCCACCTGCTTTGAAAAGCGCAGTGTTACTGGAACGTGGCCATGCCCATCCATTTGCAGATTGTCCGTGGTTGCTTTCAAGCTACAACTGTAGGGCCGAGCGGTTGCGACAGAAACCCCAAAGCCTATGATGTCACAAAGCCTAAAATGTTGACTCTCTGGCTCTTTATAGAAAAAGTTTGCCAACCCTTGCCTGTGTTAAGATCCTTACGTGGGATTTCAACCTTTTAACAATTCTTTTTTTCTTTTCTTTTCTTTTCTTTATTACACTTTAAGCTCTGGAGTACATGTGCAGAATGTTCAGGTTTGTTACACATGCCATGGTGGTTTGCTGCATCTATCATCTCATCGTCTACATTACGTATTTCTTCTAATGCTATCCCTCCCCTAGCCCCCCACCACCTGCTATCCCTCCCCTAGCCCCCCACACCCTGACAGGCCCCAGCGTATCATGTTCCCCTCCCTGTGTCCTCTGTGTTCTCACTGTTCAACACCCACTTATGAGTGAGAACATGCAGTATTTGGTTTTCTATTCTGTGTCAGTTTGCTGAGAATGATGGCTTTCAGCTTTATCCATGTCCCTGCAAAGGGCATGAACTCATCCCTTTTTATGGCTGCATAGTATTCCACGGTGTATATGTGCCAAATTTTCTTTATCTAGTCCATCACTGATGGGCATGTGGGTTGGTTCCATGTCTTTCGCTATTGTGAACAGTGCTGCAATAAACATACGTGTGCATGTGTATTTATAGCAGAATAATTTAAAATCCTCTGGGTATATACCCAGTAATGGGATTGCTGGGTCAAATGGTATTTCTATTTCTAGATCCTTGAGAAATCACCGACACTTCTTTATTCTTACTGCCATCTTAAATGTGAGGAAACTGAGATTTGGGTAGTTTAAGTAACTTCTCCAAGGTCACGTAGGAGGAACTGCATTCAGGCAGACCAAACCCAGAACCTGTCCTCATAACCCTCACCTTCTCATGTGTCCACTTCCTTGCTCCATTTACATGGGCAGGGCCTTTAAAAGAAGCTCTTGAGGAAGGGCAGCTTTGGAGTACAGCCTTTTTCATGTCCAATATACAACAGAAATTTAAATTAGCTTAAATGAGGATACAGTTCATAGTGGAAGCTCTAGGTATGCTGCACACAATTCACAACAGAAAGGAATGACAATCTCAGGATGGTTATTGTTGATTCCAGATGTCACAGGGGCATTGTATTCCTTGGATTAGCAATTCGAAGTGATGGGAAATGGTCCTGCCCAGCGTTCCACCTCTCCAAACAGATCTCTTGCTTGTCCTCCATTTCTCCACTACTACAAAGATGCCAGTATCAGCAAACCTCATGCCTTCAATACAATGCTACAGATGCTTACAATAAAAGTAAGGCCCAGGGAAGATAAGGTTAGGCTTTCCAAAGTCCGTATCACAGCCCATGTGGGAGAGGTATCTGCTAGAATTGCTCACTTGTATAGCCTTTTGGAAAGATCTTTACATCGTTTAACAGTACAGCAAGCTTGTTATCCTCAACTGGTTAGAGAGTTTCAGCAACCAGAGCATCTTTTCATGGCCCAAATGTTTAATTCTATACAACAGAGAAAGCCCATAGGAGCAAAACAACTGAGTTAGAATGAAGTTAGCTGGCATTGCTAGGAGAAAACTAGGTGTCAGACAGCTGGGATTTCTCAGGAGTATCCGAGTATCATCTCCTAATGAAACCAGCAAGAGGACAAGTCACAAAGATGTACAGAGAAGAAGTAAAGTGTGGTTGAAAACTTGAGGAAGGGTTTAAAGAATCCAGTAACTGGTCAGACCAGGGAAAGAAAGAGAAAAGTCTAGATTGCCCATTTCTGCCTTAATTCTTCCATTAACATGTGAGATAAAGTTACAGTTATCAAGACAGGGCGGTACTGGCATGAGGGTAAGCATACAAATCAATGAAACAGAATTAGGCATTCAGAAATAAACCCCTATATTTATAGCCAACGGATTTTCAACATGGGTGCCAAGATAATTCAGTAGGGTAAAGAATAGCCTTCAACGAATCATGCTGGGACAACTGATATCCACATGTAAAAGAATGAAGTTAGACCCCTTCCTCACACCATGTGCGAAAATTAACTCAAAATGGATCACAGGCCCAAATGTAGGATCTAAAACTATAAAACTCTTAAAACACAGGAGCAAACATTTGTGACCTTCAGTGAGGCAAAGGCTACTTAGCTACAACACCAAAAGCACAATTGACAAAAGAACAAACAGATAAATTAAGCTTCTTCAAAATTTAAAACTTTTGTGCTGCAAATGATGCCACCAACAAAATGAAAAGACAGCCTCCAGAGAGGAAATAGAAGTCATACTCAGGGAATGTGTTCTCTTTCTGGGTCCACAAGGGGACATAGTTTTAAGGGCAAGAACTTCCTAGAGCCATGCCCCCATCCCATCTTTCTCCATCCGGGAGATTTAATGGTTTATGTTTAAATTTCACAGGCTCGGAAGAAACAAAAAGTCGATCACTCCAGCAGAAGTTCTCAGGAACTCCTTTCATTGGCCTGGGGTCTTAGAGAAGGTGGGGGTTCCTCCCATGTTAAAAGTCCCCTTCTTCCACAGCCCTTAGGACTCCATGTTTGGGTCCCCTTCCACGAACACTCCCTTCGTGGAAGCTGTCTTTCTCTCTCCTGGATTTTCCCACTGGAGTCCCCTTCCACACTCTCTGGTGGAAGCCTGTCTTCCCCTCTCAGACTCCATCTCTCTATTCCCTGACACTCTCGTGGAAGCTGCTTTCCTCTGCTAGATTCCATCTTTCTGGATTCTCTCACTCAGTGTGAGAGTTAGCTGTTTCCTTCTCTTTCCTCCTGTTTCTCTCTCTAAAGAAATCACTTTCTACAAACGCTTTTGAGTCCGGCATTTACTGGGCACTGCGCCATGGTCCCCTCTCTCATTCTTGAGAGGGCAGGAGACCAAGAACCTGGAGAAACGTCATCTCAGGAGAACTGGGGGCACCCTGAACCCCTAAGCCCCAATATTACAATATATCTAGTAAAGGACTCATATCCAGAATATAGAAATGATTTTTTAACTTAATAATAAAAAGGTTTAAAAATTCATTTTTAAAATGGGGGCCAGGCATGGTGGCTCATGCCTGTAATCTCAGCACTTTAAGAGACCGAGGCGGGCAGATCACTTGTGATCAGGAGTTCGAGACCAGCCTGGCCAACATGATGAAACCCCATCTCTACTAAATATACAAAAATTAGGGGTTGGGCACAGTGGTTTATGCCCATAATCCCAGCACTTTCGGAGGCCGAGGCGGGCGGATCACGAGGTCAAGAGATCAACACCATCCTCACCAACATGGTGAAACCCCATCTCTACTAAAATACAAAAATTAGCTGGGTGTGTTGGCACATGCCTGTAGTCCCAGCTACTCGGGAGGCTGAGGCAGGAAAATTGCTTGAACCCGGGAAGCAGAGGTTGCAGTGAGCCGAGATTGCACCACTGCACTCCAGCCTGGCGCCTGACGACAGAGCAAGACTCTGTCTCAAAAAAAAAAAAAAAAAAAAATTAGCCAGGTGTGGTGGCACACATCTGTAATCCCAGCTATTCGGGAAGCTGAGGCAAAAGAATTGCTTGAATTCGGGAGGCAGAGGTTGCAGTGAGCTGAGATCACACCATTGCACTCCAGCTTGGGTGACAGAGCAAGACTGCATCTCAAAAAAAAAAAAAAAAAAGAGGAGGAAAGGATCTGAATAGTATACAAAATCCAATAAGCATATGAAAAGATATTCAACATCATTAGTCATTAGGGAAATGCAAATTAAAACCATAATGAGATACCTCTCCATATCCACTAGTATGGCTATAATAAAAAAGACAGATAATAACAAGTATTGGGGAGAACTTAGAGGAATTCAACTCCTTATACATTGCTGGTAGGAATGTTAAATGGTACAGCTACTTTAGAAAACAGTTTGCCAGTTCCTCAAAATGTTACACAGAGTTATGGTATGACCTGGCAATTTCCACTCCTTGATATATAGCTAAGAGAAATAAAAACAAGGGGCCAGACACAGTGGCTCATGCCTGTAATCCCAGCACTTTGGAAGGATAAGACAGGCAGATCACCTGAGGTCAGGAGTTCAAGACCAGCCTGGCCAACATGGTGAAACTCCATCTCTACTAAAAATACAAAAAATTAGCCAGGCATGGCAGATGCCTGTAATCCCAGGTACTTGGGAGACTGAGGCAGGAGAATCACTTGAACCTGGGAGGTGGAGGTTGCAGTGAGCCAAGATTGCGCCATTGCACTCCAGCTTGGGGGACAAGAGTGAGACTCTGTCTCAAAAAAAAAAAAAAAAGAAAAGAAAAACATGACAGTATATTCACATAAAACTTGTATATGAATGTTTATAGCAGCATTATTCACAGTATCCAATAAGTGGAAGCAATATAAAAGTCCATCACACAGTGAATGGGTAAACAAGATATGGCATATCCCTACAATGGAATATTATTTGGCCATTCAAAGGAATGAAATATCAATACATCCTACAAAATGGATGAACTTTGAAAACATTATCCTAAAGAAGCCAGTCACACACACACATACACACACACACACACACACACACACACACACACAAACCCCCATAACAACATTTATATGAAATGTCTGGAAGAGCAAATCTACAGAGACAGAAAATAGATTAGCAATTGACCAGGGCTGCTACAGGGAGGGATACGGGGAAGGGACCAGGAGTGAGTGACAACGGGTTTGGAATTTCTTTTTAGGAGTAATGAAAATGTTCTGACATTGACTGTGGTGATGGTTG